ACTTGCACCATTGCAAAGCATATGCATATAGATTCCTGATCAGAATGACAAAAATTCTTGATGTATTGAGAATGGGCGGATGTTGCACGCCAAGCATTCACTAGACATATGCCGTAGACACAGACCCACTCGCTGGCCTGTGCTCTATCTATACGTATACTTATCGAATTTCTCTTTACTTCGGCGTACAGGATCCTCACATGGATAGTCCTGTACGTGGGGGCTTGAGACAGTTGGATACGCCACGAATCTCTACATATGTTGCACCAGGGAATAACACGAAAAACATTAGTTTATCATAGGCAGTATTTGAAACGAAAGTCCAACCCATTCGTACATGACTGTTATATAACAATAGCTTTTTGTCATTTAATCCATGTTAGCGTGCTGAGAGGGTCTGTGTCCCCGCCCCCCCCGGGATACTGCGGCGACGTACCACTAGCGGTACGGTGGGGGATATACCGGAACGGTACCCTGCGTACTATCTAATGATGCCGGACTGTTACTCGGCCTACTCCAACTGGAGCTAGGAGTCGCGACGCCTAACTCCCTCACCCGAGCGCGAACCTAACCCTAATCCTAACCCCTAACCATGATAGACAACAACACTGAGGGTCACCAGGGTGAGACCGGAGGTGGCGTGGTCCGGGCACTGGAGCGGAAAGGCCACGGAGGGGGGAGAAGCGGGTGACGACAAGAGGGGAGGACGGAGGGCACGAGAGGGTTAGCGCAGTAGAGCGGAGACGAGGGGCAGAGCCGAAACAGAGCTATACGCTGACGGGGAGGACGGAGCAATAGAGACCAGTTAGGCCAGTATTCGTGGAGTTGTTGACAAGCCGAGAAGTGCCGCAGGGGCAATAAGGTGTCGGTAGATAAAGAGGGGAGGAGAACGCCTGGGTGTGTTGCTGTCATATAACTGGCATAGGGCGTTAGACAGGTGTTCCGCCACGATGCTAGTGGTATAATCTGATTAGGACCGATTCTAATTTTGAATGACTGGAGGTGTGAAATGTGAATTGTCGAGTATTGGTATACTACGAATAGCTTCCTGACTGGAGTGGACCCGGGATAGCTCCCGAGGATTATTAGGTAGGTTAGTGTGTTAGTAGACGCACGATTTTACCCAGCGGCGTGAGGTAGACCCGCGAGCTAGTAAATTGATCTAAGTGTATAAGTGTTGAGTGTCCGGACTGGTATGTGTTATGTAGTGCGAATGTATTATGTGTATGTTATGTAATGTAGGTATGTATCTTCCCTATTAGGCGCCAAAACGGCCCAAGCGATCTGGATGCGAATTTTCACAGGGCATCTCTTATACCCGGGAGGTTCTTAGACGAAAGAAAGACCTGATCAAACGTCAACTCACCGAAAAATCCGTAAAAAAACCGTCAAGTTTCGTACAGCTGGTACGTGATGCGTACACAGAAAAAGTCGGTGACTATTTCTTGCATCGCTCATCAGCCTGTTGCTTTTGTTGAAACCGAACAGTACTAAAAGCAGAGCCAGCCGGACAGCTCGCAGCAAATCTAAGTTGGGTTGTGCTGTCACATAAATGTCATACGTAACAGTTTTTTCCCCATGCTAAATTGTAAATATTCATATTCTGTGCAATGTTATTGTCGATTTTTACCCAATGTTCCTATTGTCCGATTATGAATAGTATGAATTAGTAGCACGATTTTACCCAGCGCAGCGGGTACCCGCAGCTAGTAAGTGTCTAAAATATTAAACAATGTATCATTCAGGTATGATTTTAATCATTGATAGAGTAGGTTGGTTAAGCCATGTTTTTAAACAATTCTTTGTACTTGAGAATCATTTATGCAGTATCCAGTAAACTATTATAACATCTCTATCATCATATAGCTTGTAGCTTACCACATGACACTGGTAATAAATCAAATTTTAAGGTGTGAGTTTGATGAACCCGAGAAATATGAATGATTTTTGTTTGCACTGATGTTGGTCAGGTTGCGAATGCCGTGGGTGCAGCGCTTAGCCAGGTGAGTGGTGCAGTGGACACTGTAGCCAACTTGGCTTTAGTATCTCGACAAGCTGCCATCGAGGAAGCCAAGCAACGAGCAATAAAGCTCACGGTGGATGCAGGAGCGCTGCCAACCAGCATTCGTGTGAGTGTAGTCAGTTTCATTTACTGCTATTCACTTGCAGATAGTTGGACATAGAGACAGGCAGGAAGGCAGGCCAACTGACTGACAAACAGACATGCAGGTAGCCATGCAAGCTAAATGACTGACCAACAGGCAGTCAGTCAGACTGACTAACAGACAGACAGACATACAGGCAGGCAGACAGACAGACAGACAGACAAACAGACATACAGGCAGGCAGGCAGGCATGCAGACAGACAGAGAGACAGACAGACACAGACGGATGGACAGACACACACACACACACACACAGATAGGCACGCATGCACGCACGCACGCACGCAGGCACGCACGCAGGCAGGCACGCAGGTAGGCAGGCAGGCAGGCTGGCAAGCAGGCAAGCAAGCAGGCACGCATGCAGGCATGCAGGCAGGCAGGCAGGCACGCAGGTAGGCAGGCAGGCAGGCAGGCAGGCAGGCAGGCAGGCTGGCTGCATGGCTGACTGGCAAGTAGGCATGCATGCAGGCAGGCAGGCAGGCAGGCAGGCAATCAGCCCAAATTAAAAGGCTCATTGATTCCGTTTGTTGCATTGTAGGTGACGTAGGTTTGCTTTAGCAGAATTCACATTATAGACAATTTAACATTCAGATACACAGCCTAACATACACATGGTGTATTATACCAGTTTATATGTGATCTTATTACATTGGTTGCAGATTGTTGATATTGGTGATGTGCCGCTAACCTATCTCCCAGGCAATGCGACAAGAATCAAGGTTAAAGCAGTAGGTGATCTTGATCGGCAGCACATACTTGGAATGAATCCTACAGTAATTTGTGAGGAACATGGAAATGCAGTTGCCCAGTTACTGACTGTAGAGAAGACACATACATCACTAATGCCTGCCACTGAAACAGTGCTTGACAATTTAGCAGCAAGTAAGACAGAAGACTTCAGCACGGTGGACGGTATGTATAGGTGTTTCTTCAGTAATTTAAAATGGTTTAGTCATGTTGTGAACTAATTTATATGGTACTAGCGGGATACCCGGCGTTGCCCGGGGAAATTAGTAGCGTTACTCAGTTGGTGACCGCTTGATTGAAAGGAAAATACCCCAATAATCTAACTATCTATTTATCCATACATCCATCCATGCATCCATCCATCCATTCCATACCATCCCATTGCATCCCATCCCATCCAATCCCATCGCATCCCATGACATCCCATCCCATCCCATCCCATCCCATGACATCCCATCCCATCCCATCCCATCCCATCCCATGCCATCCCATCCCATCCCATCCCAAACAGTAAGAAATAATAAGAAATCAAAAGATAAAAAATAAATTTAATAAATTAATAAATTAAAAATAATACATACTAAAGAGGTAGGTAAAGGGAAAAAAGGAAAAAAGGGGAAAATAAATTCCCCAGCTGGAACTCAAACCCAGATTCCAAGTGTACGTAGCAGACGGAGGTTCTAGTGATGCGCCATTACGGTTATACACCATGGATTCAGACATACGTGATGTTGTGTGTACGTACGTGACCGCCATCTATTGATCAATAGAATTTTTTATGAATTTTGAACTTTTGAACTTTTTAACTTCCCAGACGTGCTGATTCTGAAAATATCTTTAGTTTTCCTCTAGGCTGCGGAGTTCTCTAGTTATGCGAGTACGGACTAATTCGGCTGAACAACCATATATATATAGATGTACATGTGTAGGGCTGTATATATAGTTGACCATGCCACAATGGCAAATGGAACGTTCTCGAGAAGTTATGCTAGATGGAGTCAATATACATCAGTTCATGGTGATATCATTTCTTAACTGAAGTTTTATCTTGGAAAGCGTCTGTAAATTAGACCTTCACGTTAGCATGATTTCTACTCAACTAAGACATGCCTAGAACAGTGACGTATGCCTTATTTCAGACATGGGAGCTGAATCTGTAAAGTGGAAGCCACACATAGTTAATAACGAGTGGTTGCTCAATGAGCGCGATGTCGACTGCATTGCTATAGGAGCTGGTATTCTTGGATCAGGAGGTGGAGGCAATCCCTATATTGGCAAGCAGAGAGCTCTTCAGCAACTCAAACTGGGACGTAAGCTGCGAGTGATAGCACCAGAAAGGTTTGTAGTACTGTACACTCTGATCTAAGGCAATGTGCTTATGGTTCGAAATGATAGGAACCTAAATCAGTATTACTTGGTCCTGTCAGTGAAACTTCTTCTACAACACCAAAAGTGTTTAGCAAACTACTACTCTGGATTCTCTACAAAGGCTTTTGGCTTCAGCATGCACAGATATGTGCCACACATGTGCATAATTATTGCCTACAATCCCTTGCTTATGCTACGTAATTGGCTAGCAGAAGTGGGCCAATTCGCATTAAGTTTGAGTTATAGGAGATATATTTTATTGATAAAATATTTAGGAGGTTATAGCTTATCTTTTAAGGGAGGTTTAGACACGTTGGCCCTAATTTCTTTAAATTAACTATATATAGCCTTATGTATCAGCATCATATATGTCACGAGGAAGCAAATGAATAAAGTTATGTAATGATTTTCCATGTGATAGTAATAGTGATAGTGGCAATGCTAGTGGTAATATTGTTTTGTATATGTTTTTAAATTTCACTTATAGGACATCATCTTCATTATTGTTAATGCTGGCTTGCTTACCAACTTCCTTGTTTGCTAGCTTGTATGTTTGATTTACTCGTGTCTGCTTCTTGTTTGGTTTTCAGCTTTCATTCGGGTTATGCATCAGTGTTATGGATGCTTGGTGCACCAGTCGTATTTATTGAAAAGTTGCCGAGCAACACTGAGTGTCTGTCTGCCCATCAGACACTGGTACAGGTGTTGACTAGTGACCAATACCATAAAGGCTCCCTCAATACAGGTACTTCTGTGCTGTCACATCGTCACCAACCACTGTGACGCAGATGATCATCGTTGCCAAGCTGATCAGGCTGCGATATGGCAGGACGTTGAAAACTAGCTATTTACTACTTCCAGTTTTTGACATTTTTCTTTCAGCATGTCAACGGGTGTAGTTGTTTCTTGTGTAATGATGGGAGCACCAGTGATCATTAGAGAAAAGCTACCCAGCAATGAAAGTGCCAACGCATTTGAGACACTGCGGGAGCTTGTCTCTAGTGTCAAATGCAAACCGGAACATTACTTAGACATGGGTAATGCAGTCAATGAAAGTCTATTAAAGTCTATTAAGTCGAAAATAGATAAATATTCGGCTTGTTATATGTGTATTTGCTGTAACTTGTACTTTCACTCTCTGATGACAAGTGTACAAACAGTTCTGTAAACTAAATCCTATTACAATTGTTTAAAATATAATAATTATGTTAGTGCTCCATTGACCTGGTTTTGACAAAAAGGGAATCTAGTGCTTTCGAAATATGTGAAGAAAATATAGAATAGAGTAGACGGATATGAGCCAGTTAAATTTATTGTATCTGATGTAGTTCAGTCAACATGTGATGTAATATCAGTGAGCCTGACAAAATATCGGCCTAAAATGTCATAAGAAAATCAATATCAACTTGTGTTTATATACTAAACATTTGCAAGATATGAGTTAAATCTAGGTAATCCTTCAGATAACTTACCACCCACATAATGCTAATTGGTCGAAAATAAGGTTATCATTAATAGTGAAGACTGATATATAGTACAGGGTGCGAAATTAACGGGAGTACGGAGTCAAATACTCCCTGATTTACTGTCGGATTCCTGATTTGACATATGCAGGAGTCCGTGTGACTCCATGAAAATTCGGCCATATGTACTAGCTAGTTCGTTCCGGAGCATGGCCTCGCGGAATTGCCGTATTTTTTCAGCTAATGTCCAAAGAAAATTTGGCAGACGTGCAACCGCATGAATCTTAAAAATAAGCACATGTGTTATTGTTAATATCTTTAGTTTTGAACTTCAGACTGCGGACTCCCTTATTTTGCTACGGACTCCCTCTTTTTGAGGGTAGAGAGTTCGTTGGACTCCCGTGTTCAAAAGTTAATTTCTACCCCTGTAGTATGAGACTGTGATCATATTAGAAGTATATGAATAGAGAATCTCTATATCATCTATATGAGATCTTGTCATTTTCCCTATCATCTCTGTTATCTCTATTCATGCACTCATGATCATACTCGATGTCATCTAGCTTCCAGCACGGGAAAACTCATAATTGTTTCTTTATCTAGACCTCGAAGTGAAGATAGGCAACGGTGTGAAATACATACAGAATTTCCCAAAAGATTTTCACAATTGTGAAGAAGGAGAAGGTGCAGTGAAGGTCACAGCTGTAATGGCTGCAGAGATGGGAGGAGTAAACTCGTTTGAGCCAGTCATCGTAGGTGCTATTATGGATCTACCTATTCTAGATGCCGATGGGATGGGGAGAGCGTTTCCTGAAATTCAGGTGAGCTCTTCAATTTTACTTATATAGTCTATCCAACTCAGACCTTTACTTGTGACACTATTTTGTGTTAACATGTATTCAAGGTTGAATTGTTATGCATGAGGAACATTTATAACATGTGTGTATGTAGGTTGACTGAAAGCCTACCCACCCCATCTATTCTCTAGGTGTTTATATCATTAAAGACACTCGCCTAAAAACGAATATGGGGGTCTATCCGAAAACCTAAATATGTCGCACTGTTAACATCTCTTAGAAATTAACTATGATTTATGACGTCTGATTTATTCTTGTAGATGTTCACCCCTTTCATGTACCGTGACGAATATGCTCCTTCATGCCTGTCGGACGAGCGAGGCATCAGAGAGGTGGTCATTCAGGCAGACTCGCCAAAACACCTGGAGAACCATTTCCGTGCTCTCTGCGTGACACATGGGTAGGTGGACGTGTATGGCCACACATAAAAGAGAAGCTGTTCGCGAAGAATCTGATTTCTACATGGGGCCCACAAGCAAGGTCCCAGAAGATGGTATAAAGTGAAGTCATGCTTTCCTAAATCATCAAAATGTACATTCTACATTCTATCACCTTTATTGGCATCTTTCGCATCAGGCAGGGGACCCTTACCCCATGCCCCATTACACGGAGCCCATTTACGAGCACAACGTTCACTAGTCGAAACTGATGTCTGTTCGATATAGCTGCATGTCCGGATGTGCCATGGCACCTCTCTCAGCCGACGAAGTTGAAAACTTAACAGTGAAGTACAGCTTGAGTCGCGTATGGCGTCTGGGCAGAGCAGTGGTGCAGGCACAAGCTACAAAACGCAGCCCTGTGGATGCCATCATGGAGCACGAGCATGCTGTGCTCCTACTCACTGGAAAGGTAAATGCCCCACAACAAAATTCTCACTCTTCAAAGCACTAGTCTCTGTCCTAACATCCTCAAAGCTTCCTGTCAGCCACTATGAGGCTTTCGCATTTACAGTCAAGCCGCTGTAGTGGTCACTTCTATATAATGCACATCTGTCTATAAACAACACATTTGGCAACTCCTGCAAATGACAACTGTACAGCGGCATCACCTCTACAGAGTAAATTTCTGTCTATAGCTGATGCTTCTGGCGTTTCACTTGAGTGACACAGATTTGACTGTATGACGTGTTCTGTGGCAGATCGTCGATGTGCAGAGACGCATCACCGGGGGCTTCACTCGTGGGCGGGTCTCTGTAGAAGGCCTCAAGGACAAGGAGTATGCCGGCACCAGGCTGCATCTCGACTTCCAGAACGAATACCTCATTGCTTACGTGGAGGCTGAAGATGGAGTTTTGCAGGTGAGTAAATGTAGGGGATACCCTAGCACCTCTCATCTCAGCCCAGCTAGCTCATTTCCAAACCTAAACCAAACCTTGGCTATGTAACGCAGGTTGCCATATTGGAAGTACGTTGATTAGTCATGCCTGGACCAAATAATCATGTGAGAAATGACAGCAAAAGACCAGAAAAATCGTAAATTAAAATCAGTGCAATCTGATTTGCAGTAATTCTGTAATAAAGGCTCTGTCAATGACCAAATTAGGACATTTATGTTATAGTTCCATGCAGGACCATAGCAGGGGGAAGTCTCCCCCCTCAGGTCACTATCACATGGCCAATAGCCAACTACGAACTGCCCACGGTCAACTGTCCAGAACACTAATTGCGTTTGGCTGGCTTCCCTCCGCCAGGCAACATGCATATTCATCAGATCCGGGACAATGACAATTAAATAATTGACAAATGAATTATATTTTTTAATGACAAATAATTATTTATTGTTATTATTATAATAATCATTATTATTTGTCATTATTAACCCTCCGAGGGCAACATATTCATCAGCTTCATCTTTACCTGCACAGGTGAGGACGTGTGTGCCCAACCTCATCATGATGGTTGACACTGACAGCGGCGAGCCGGTGAACACCGACGAGATATGCTACGGCCTGCGCGTGTCCGTGCTGTCGGCGGCGTCCGCTCCGATCATACGCACGCCGCGAGCTCTCGAATTCGTCGGACCAAAGGCATTCGGCTACGAGGACGTGGAGTATGTGGAAATCTCAGACTACGTGGAGTACGGCTCTGTGCTGCAAGAGTATGCTTGAGTAGAATCGCATCAGCAGTGCGGCACGTCCTTGACTGAAGTAGCAGGATGATAGAATGATGTAGTGTGACATGAATGTATATCGTGGGTGGTTGTGGGGTGGTGGTCTTGTGTCACAAATATTGACTAAAACAGATGATCCAGTAATGATAAATACAGTCGACCTAACGCATATTGTTCTTGCACTGACCCAAAGGGAATGTATTAAATGCGTGATTTTTGCGTATGGTATATTATATGCATGCTAAACAATATAATACATGTATGTCATAAGTATGTAGAATTTGGTCATTACCTAATGAAAATTGGATGGCTTGTAATGTTTCCGGTGTCAAAAATCCAAATATGTGGCAGTTTATGATGATGGAATGAGAGGGTCAGGAAGTCATTTTAATTAAATTTAATATAATTTTCTAATTCAAAAATCTGATAATTAGTATAACTTGTAATATATTAATAATAATAAAATAAAATAATAATATCAATTTTAGTAATATATTATTATATAGTTTTTCAATTCATCCTGCTAATTTGCACACCACTGTCTTTATTAAGTAGTAATATCTGAAGTGGTCAGAGGGTGCATATTGGATTGCACTCCCACGCATTGTACAGTGCGTGTGCGCGTGCGCGTGTGTGTGCGTATGTGTGAACAATCTAAACACTATCCAGCCACACGGACTCAATCTATGGGTAGAGATTCCGGAATGGATAGAAGACAGTAATCACTCTCCCACCAGCATGGTATACACGCACGGCTAATTCTCAGCCGACACTAGGGTAGCGGGTGGCTCGGTTTACCTTTTTATAAGGATAGATTCGTAATAGAGAAACAAACAATAAGCAATATTCTGACAAAAACAATTCGAACGATTCTATGATTTTGTGTAGTCAAAGCTTCTTGATATACAACATTGTTATGAAATTGCGCCCAGTTATTATGAATATGCCTCTCTGGCTTTGCAAGACTTGTCTCGCCATTTAAATAAACAGTTGGCGACATCTGTCACGTGCCTCTCTTATCATTGGCATTCGCTTTACATCAAAATAATACATGAAAACTAAACTAGCTAAATTAAATACATAGGTCAATAAACTAAACCAGTCAATATAGCACGGTATCCGTTCAGGGTCACTTTCGTCGTAAAATAATGAGCAGAATTTAAAAAGTAAATATTTCTCCAAACGTATGGATATCACCTCATTTTAACCAAATTAGTTGTATTGGTCAATCTGGCAGAGTTCTGCACCAGTGAAGTCACCTGTATTAAAGTCAATTATATTGACATCAAAAAGATGAATAACACCTGATTTTAAAGGACCCGGGCTCGTCATTTGCGGTTAACTAAATTATGTAAGTTATGATTTTTGACCGCACGATGGAGCCACTGTGCAGTTTTCAAATACACCGCTGTCAGACGCTGTGGTCAGACCCCAGAAATAGAATAGAAGACTTCTATTCTAGACTTCTATTCTATTTCTGTGGGTCAGACGCTGTGGTCAGAAGAAACCATGGCATAGGCCTAGGCAATAAGGCATGGATGAGGAAACATCAATTTTGGCATGCTATTGCCCAAACATTTGTAACCGTGCAAAGGGAACGCGGGCTATAGTTATTAGTTAATACTAGAGGCTAGAGCTATGCACAAACAAGAAGACCTCTTCTGCAAGTTTGAGCCACGATCGTGACGTTAGACTCGACGACAGTGTCAGTGATCCCGTGAAGACGACGTCGACGAAGAGGTATGCCACTACTACTAGTACTAGTACTAGTAATGCTTATAAATATAATATAAGTTATATACTTATAGCCGTATAGGGTCTATGTCCCACAGGGTACTATCGGAGGGTACCCTGTCCCTGGGGTACGGTTCGATATATCCGAACGTACCCTAGCTGGTAACTATCTGATAGTGATATGGTTAGGGTTAGGGTTAGGGGAGTAGGCGTAGGCGACTCCCTAGACTCGTTAGCGTAGTAGGCGAGGTATGGTCCGGCATATGTCGGATAGTACCGTACCAGGGTACGTTCCGACATATATCGAATTGTACGGCATACCCAGGGTACCCTCCGATACCCTGGGGGACCCTCAGCGCCACTATTGTAATGACTAATGTACTTTATTTTTATTACAAAGATAGTTATATTATTTAAGTCCCAGGAATAGAAATTAACTTTTTATCAAGGGAGTCCAGTGGACTCCTTGCCCTGAAAAAGAGAGTCCACAGTCTGATGAGTGATTTTCAAAGCTAATACTAAAAGTAATAGTAAAGATAACAATTACGCATGTTTTTAATCTTGTTTTGCTTGCATGACTACGGCAGTACGGCTATGTATCACCATATCACAGCATATCTCATTATCTGCCATCTCCTCTACCGGGGAGGGTTTCACTTGCGAAACAAACTTGTATACTTTATACCATATGAATTATACAATATATTCGAATGTATACACAGACAAATTACAATTTTACAAATACAAATGAACGAAAATGAACCACTAAAAGTGTGTGTTGTGCTGCTTTTGAGACTCAACTGACAACTGAGTGCATAATGATTTATTTAATTTAAATTGGCATAGAGGCTAATACCGATAGATGGCTACATACGCTGGAATTCAGCTGTTCTACTTTTCTGACATCACCCCACTACTAAAATAATCGGCCTATTTATCGTCATTATATCTACAAAATAAATATAGGCATAATGCAGAACAAAGGGCGTGATACTACGAGAAAAGTGAATATTATAGATCCGATTTTATCATGCACACGTGCTGGCAGCCCGCTCGGCTGCAGTTGGACCATATAAAAACGGCTGAAGAAAATGATCTTAGCAGTCAACGGCGACCAACGTCCGAGGCCCAATTCCCCATATATAAATATAGGCATAACGCGGAACCCAGGGCGTGATGCTGCGAGAAAAGTGAATATTAAAGATAGGATTTTATCATGCACACGTGCTGTCAGCCCGCCCGGCTCGCGAATTTGCGATTCCCAAACCGTATAGCTATGGAAGAAAAATTGAGCAACGCGATTGGCTAGAAAATGTTTAGGACACGCCCACTATCGCACGCACACCATCGGCATCGCGCATTTTGCACAGGGGCTTATTTATTTTATTTCTTATTATTTTTGGCTAATTTTGTTTTATTTTAGAATTAGGGTTAGGGTTAGGATTCGGGTTAAGGTTATGGTTAATGTTAGGGTTAGGGTTAGGGTTAACTAATTTCTATATCTACGATTTTAGAATCTGTCTCAGTGGGTCAACGCTAGACCGTTTGCTTCGTGATCGTGAGTTACCGCATTCGAACGCGACGCGGGGTGTTTTTATTTTCCTCTGCGTTATGTATTTCTTTGTATTTTATTTGTTTCTGCATTTATTTGTTCTGTAACTTTTGTTTATGTTCTGAATTAAATATATTTCTTTATAATATTAGCTTATAATTTATTATATTAGCTGGTTGAGTAATAATGCGTGTCCTAAAATTTTTCTAGCCAATCACGTTGCTCAATTTCTATTCCAAAGCTATACGGTTTGGGAATCGCAAATTCGCGCCCGGCTCCACTTTGACTGTATAAAAACGGCCGAAGAAAATTATCTTAGCAGTCAACGGCGACCGACGTCCGAGGCCCAATTCCCCATATATAAATATAGGCATAACGCAGAACCAAGGGCGCGATGTTACGAGAAAAGTGAATATTATAGATAGGATTTTATCATGCACACGTGCTGGCAGCCCGTCCGGCTCCAGTTGGACCATATAAAAACGGCCGAAGAAAATTATCTTAGCAGTCAACGGCGACCGACGTCCGAGGTCCAATTTCCCATCTAATATTTGTGGAAGCTTCTCTGTTCGTCTGTTCACGACCACCACCACCACCAGCCACCACACAACGTCTGACCCAAAAAAAAACAAGACAAAGTTGGGAATCTTGTATTAGATTGAAGCAAGATATCTTAAGTAAATCTTGTATTAGATTGAAGCAGCATATATGTTGAGTGAATGTTGTTGTATTAGATTGAAGCAGCATATCTTAAGTAAATCTTGTATTAGATTGAAGCAGCATATGTTGAGTGAATGTTGTTGTATTAGATTAAAGCAGCATAGCTTAAGTAAATCTTGTATTATAGATTGAAGCAGCATATGTTGAGTGAATGTTGTTGTATTAGATTGAAGCAGCATATCTTAAGTAAATCTTGTATTAGATTGAAACAGCATATATGTTGAGTGAATGTTGTTGTATTAGATTGAAGCAGCATATATATTGAGTGAAT